AGTGGGCAGATTAAGGAATTTACAATAACTACATCCACAACATTTTTAGGTCCCTGGGAAGCTTCTTGAGTATTTAGGCTAAAGCAGCTGGTTCTGGAATGGATATCATGGAATCTGATTCCAGAAAGTTCAGAAAACAAAGTGTGGCATTGCAAGTCAAGTAGCAGGATATCAATGGAAATCACTGGTATTTTCATGGGATTAACACAGGAAAATTCATTGCTAAGACTCAGCTAACCAGCTGAATGTCCACGTGCACAGAATGCTTGCAAGGTTTGTTTTTTCTCTTGTTTTTAATAAAATGTCCTTTCTTTGTGTCCTGATCCCACCCATGTGATATTGCTTGACTATTTGAATCAGTTTACCAAGTACCTCTGCAGATATTTTTAACTTCCAAAAATCCACCAAAATATTTACCTTTAATAAATATTTAATAAATAATAGAAGTATATACACACACATGTGTCTACATATAAACACATGCACACATACAGAGAGAGAGAGAGAGAAGATTCGGGACTTTGCCTTGTACAATAACTTTGGAAGATAAATAAGTTGGTGTCATTATTATCACAGTTATATACATGAAAAAAAAACCAAAGGCTCAGTTGTCTGGCTGCTAAGTGCCTCAAGGTGGATTCAAATCTATGTCCATTGCCCATGACCACCACCATTCCTACTTCCCCATAAAAAAGAAAATGTGCTGATCGGCTTTTCCGATATGGTATATTAAACATTTTAGATCTATTCTAAGATGTATAAAAGTGATCAATTTCACACCACCCAGGTTTTTCCGTTAAAGATATTTTTCCATAAAATATTCCTGGAAGAAGTGTTTAAGCAGGGTACAGAATTTTATTCCACACTGAGACAAAGGATGAAATGTCTTCAGAGTTCTAAGCACGTTCCTTGCTATTTCACTCACACAGAGGTCTGCTCTTAATTTTTTTTTTCTGTTTCATTCAAAAAGCAATTCCACTACCAACCTGAGGTTAGCTACATTAATCTAATGTCAACTCCATTATTGTTAATTATTTTATGGTGGCTATATTTTAACAGAAGGGGTACAAAGATCCCTCATGTCATTTGATAGCCCACCAAGAATTATATTGAAATAACTACATTGATTTCCAGATCTCAGCAAGCAACTAGGACATAATTAAACTTTTATCTCTGCAAATTTTGCTGTCTTTTTTTTTTAACCTGGTTACCTATTGTTCGGTAGACTAATCTTATTTTGCTTCTCAGGTGGGCCTAAAATTTCATTCAATGCTTAAGAAATAAATTAAAATGAAAGACATGTAATATCTGGACGTTTCTCAAATGAGAATTTCCATTGGCATATTTTCTCTGGGTTCATTTTTTTTTGCCTGTTTCTTATTTGACTTTAATAAAGCTATACTCTATTGAAGTTAAATAAAAGCACTCCTCTGAGCACTTGGAGTTAAATTAAAATAGCTATAAATCTGAAGAAGCAGCCATTTAAAGATTCTACTTGACCTACCTTAGAAGAAATAACCTGTAGCTATAGAAAAGGTAGGTTCTACTGAGACCTGCTCTGTAAAACCAGCTCAGGGTTCTCAGGTCTCTCCCTCCTACAGAACATCTGTCATGTCTCTTGCTCCCCCAAACAGTAGACCTTAAACTCTATGAGAAGGAAACTTTCCTTAGACTTCTGGAAATTTTTTCTTCCATTAAAATTAAAAAAAAAAAAAAAAAAAAAAGCAAGTGAAGGAGCAGCATAGTAAAGTAGAAGCAAAGAAAAAGTAAGAAACCCACCAGACTGAAAACACACTTGCATTCATATTCTCCTTAATTATCTATGCCACTCTGGAGAAGCCACCTTGAGCTCTGTGCCTCCGCTTTCTCATCTGAAAATCAAAGCAGCTAGATATGAGCCAGGTCCGGGACTCAGCATTCACCGCCCATGCAAAACGTACAGGGGCTCCAAAAATGAAAATTCACGCAAAAAAAAATCCATGATGAACAAAATATCAAATGCTTCAATTCAATAATAACAGGCTGAGAGGGTTACTGATTTTCCTGGTCTTGACACAGGTCTGTTCCCGACCAGATCCTCTCTAAACACCATCTACCTCTAACATTTCGGGGCTAGACTTCTAGTCTCCTCGGGCACATGGCCATCTTCCAGCCCCTGAGACCCGGACAGGGAGGTTCAACCAGCAAAACCCCTTAGGAGCATTTCAGGGCGACCGGTGAGAGAGACTGGCGCCTTCCTTCTAATTCTCCTCCCGTTGTCCCGGGGAGACAGTGACTTCATGTGGCTTCACATCAGGACTCTGCCGTGTGATCAAGATTGAAATCATAATCTCATTTCCCTAAGAGCTTTGGGAGGGCACAGACTTCCAGCAGGCTGCCTCGGGGCGCCACCCTGTACCCTGACTTGCACTGACTTGATTAAGCTATAGCTTCGGACTGAAGACAGCATGGGGGACACTTTCAAAAATTCTGGAAGGCTGTCCTCTCCGCACACCGTGCGCTTCCTCGCCCTGGCCTGTCGGGCCTCGGCAGGGCATTCCCACTCACTGCCCAGCGAAGGGTGACATAGCGCGGAAGGGGAATAAAGCAAAGGCAAGCCTCGACTTCCGACGGCAAAGCTTCTGATCCCCCAAGAGTGGATCAAAGGTCCTACTTTTGTTCCTGAGCCCTGCCGGAGGGGGCGTATAAAATGCCAGGGTGGGCACCACTGTGACAAGGCTAAAGCAAATAAGGCGACGTCTTGGAAATCCCCCAAGGCCCAGGGGGTGCAAGAAAGATATCTTAGAATACCCTGAGTCTGTCAAGGGAGCTGTCAAATGACCTCCACGCTCCCTTTAAGTGCCTTGGTTCTCAGAACTGCAAATGCTGAGTTGTTTGCAAACGCGGAGCAAGGTGTATCCCTTTCCCAAGAGAGTTAATGGCCCCAGGTGCTCTCCTTGAAACCCTGTCTACCCAGCACAGTACGAAATAGGAGCGCACGGCCGTCCGTTTATGTGTTGGAGGCTGGTCTGGATGAAGGTGAGAACTTGAAAGTCCTATCAAGGATGCTGGAGTCCTCCGCGGGTGCCTCGTCTCCCATCCAGGCTGGCACCACTTTGCCGTTCTCCAACAGAGGCCAGTTTCATAAATCTGCAGACGTCACCTTTTTTTCCGAAACTATAGTTACTTACATAATTTGATCTGCTCCCTCTATGGCTCCAGTATTGCTCATGCCTTGTGATTGATAAGGGCCTTCCATATTCTTCTTTCATATTTAAAAACCCTTATGCAAATTCTGCCAGCAGCACAGCAAACTAAAGTTTTTGCATTAATGCTTCGTATTATTCACATACAAAAATTCCATTTAAATCTCATTAAGCTTGTGACATAAATCCAAACAAACTAGAAAATGCCCCGTTAAGGTGGAAAAGTGACATATGTCTTCCAGTCCCCTGGCAGAGCAACACCAAATGAAAAAAATGATAAAAGTGCTCCCCATTTGGGACAATATACCAATGGACACATATGTTACTTTTCTGCCTCTAACTGTTCGCAGCCTTCCTGCCTTTATCTCAATAGCATTTAAATGAAGTATTTGTCAGCAACTGTTTCTGGTAATGTGACGTATGTGATTCAGTAAGGCGGCGAGCTGAGTTTCTGGAAACATAACGGTATCCTGGGAAAATCATAAAAAGTCTGTCTGCTAACGGCATTTTTTTGATTTCCCTCTAGGCGTTTCTTGGGGTTCATGGTATGATTTATCTGTCATGTAGTATTAACAATATACCTTTCAGGGACTGGAGGTTGAGTGGGGCCCCTGAGCTGCCTGCCTCAACCCCCCACCAAAACTGAATGGCCTTTGTGCTGCCTTGCCTCATCTCCAACCAGTTTTTCCTTGAAAACAATTATAATAATATCAGCAGGTTACAGAGCCTTTACAATAGTACCCTACCCTCTTTAGGACCACTGCTAATGGTCAATTTTAATCCTGTAATGTGTTTAGGTTAGAGATTTGGGGAGCTGGGTACGATCAGCTCTGGCCCTTAGTGATTGCAAATCCGAGATTATGATGTGAACAGTACAAGGTCACACCAGTACTTTGAATTTTTTTAAGCTTTATTTAGTTTGCAGAGAGAAAGAGAGAGCACGAGCAGGGGAAGGGCAGAGAGGGAGGGAGACACAGAACCGGAAGCAGGCTCCAGGCTCTGAGCTGTCAGCACAGAGCCCGACGCGGGGCTCGAGCTCACAAACTGTGAGATCCTGACCTGAGCTGAAGTTGGAGGCTTCACCGACTGAGCCACGAATGACGCTATTACCATATCATAATCGGTTACATATTTGCCTCAAAAAAAAAAATAATCGGATTTTGGATTTGGGTTCAGCTCTCAGTAGCTGCGGGACTCAGAAGGCTCAATGGGAGTATCTGAAAAGGTAGGAACGCCCCTGGTTGTCGAAAGGCCAAGGTCTTGGGCCAACACTTATGTCTCTCCACCTGCTTCAAGCCTTCAGAGACTCCAGCGGGAAAGGGTGATGCAAAAGGAATGCCCGCCCTCCAGCCCTTGGGACCCACCTGGTTCTGTTTCCTGAAGTGGTCGAGGGCATAGGCAGAGATGCTCTCCCGGGCCTACCCATTTCAGAGAAAGAGAAGGACAGTGACAGTCGGGGAGAGAAATGGAGAGTGTGACCAGAGACACAGAACCAGGTCTGATGTGAGGCTGCCTCTTTCACCTGCGTGGCTCCTACCCGCCTTCACTGCCCTTCACTTCCCTGAGGCGGCCTCTCCTCCGGGTGGCACCTGCATGAGGCAGAGGGCCCTTGTGACCTGTCTTGGCCTCTGCACCACAAGGCACCTCTCAGTTTGCCACCCGGGAGGTGGAGCAGTGAGCTGGGTAGGATCCAACCCCTGTGGCCACGCTGCCTGGGTTCCGATCTCACACCGCCACTTACTGAGCCACGTTGGGTGAGGTACCTACCCTTCCCTGCCTCCGTTTCCTCATCAGTAAAATAACAACAAAAAAAAATCGGTAAAATCAGTAAAATCTATTTTAATTACCGCCTCACAAATACAGGTGCTCTGTAAGCATAACATACCATTATTACTTTATATATACAATTGACTCTCTCCCCCACTAGACAGACAGCCAGGTAAGTCAGGGCCGGTTTTGCTCAGTGCTTGGCTGAATAGATGTTGATGGATGAATAGATACCAGCGATTTGAAAGTATTCTTAGAATTAAGAAAATGCATGATTCCAGATACATCTGTGGGGTGCCTTCTCTTTAAAAACTTTACAAAAATATTATTGAGTTCTAGACGACACGTTAAAAACAGCACACATTTGAAGTGGACAATTAGATAAGTTTTGACGTATGTAAACAGCCATGAAACCGTGACCACACCAACACAAGGAGCCCTTTAAAATCCTTCCCTCAAGTCCTCTCCCCTCCCCCACAACCTCTGATTTGCTTCCTGTGAGTAGGGATTAATTTGCATTAACTCGAGTTTTATATAAATGGACTTACGCCACGCACTCGCTTTTGTTTGCTTCCTTCACTCGGCATCATTACTTGGAGAGTCATTCATGTTATGTATATCAATGGACACACACTTTCTTTTCTTTGGAGTAAATATCTATTTGTGCAACGGCTGACCATATAGTAAGTGTAAGTTTAATTTGGTAACAGACTGCTTTCCAAAGCGGTTGGAACATTTTACATGCCCACCAGCGGTAGATGAGAGCTCCAGCTTTCCTAATCCTTGCTGATACTTCCTGTGATGAGTCTATTTAATTTTTCATTCTAATAGGTGCGAAGTGGTATTTCACTGTGACTTTTGTTTATGTTTGCCTATTGGCTGGTGTTGGGCATCTCTTCGTGTGTTTATTTGTCATCCATAGATCTTTGGTGAATTGTTCAAATCTTCGGCCAAGTTTTTATTGCGTTGTGTATTTTGACTGTTGAATGTCAGAGTTCTTTACATGGTTAAAAGACAGAGACATATTAGAAATATTAAGCGTTTATTTGAGTAAAAATCAATTCAAATCAGGCAGTGCCCAATCAGAACTGGCCAGAAGTGCTCCCCCAACAGGAGCTAGGGGAGAGACTTTTATAGAAAAGATGTGGAAGCCAAGCAAGGAAATTATTTGATTGACCGTAGCTTCAGTGTGCTGGACTTGGAAAAGCTCAACTGGTTGGTTGTCCTTAGGTTTTGATCTCTTATCCTTGAGGCGTTTACAGCCTTTGGCTTGGGTTTGCTTACCCAAACTCCCGGGGTATTAGAACCACCTCAGTCTCATGGCCTCCTTCTAAGAGGAGAATTTTGTTGAGAATTTAAGAGTTCCCCCTTTTGGTCATTCTCTCATACGTGAGCGATTGGCCCCAAATGTGGCATCAGTGCCACTCTCGGTCACCATCAGGATAAAGTTGTTCTTGTCTCACTGGGAAATTCATGGGTCATGATGTCAGGTGCACGGAAGAGCTGTTTTTGTTGACCTTCTGATTGTTCATTTGTTTCTCCAAGCACAGCGAGGCCATCTGATGTGGCTGCAAATGCACATGCAAGACCCTTGAGAGAACACAGCCCACCAGGGAGACTACAATGATGATTATCAGGCAGATAAAACCAAGGGACTGGATTATGTTCCCCTACCCAGGGCTCCTACGAACCAAACCAGTTGGTTATCAGACAAATCAAAGAATGTGCCTGAAGGGTCATCAGCCCAATTTAGCCAAGTAGGGAGGTTGTTAATTTCTTGCGTTCGCCACAAAACCAGAGTTATTGATCCAGGTATTGCCATGGCACAGACGCCTCCTTGTTTAGCCAAGAACTAATTCAAACCAATTCTATTATCGAAAGCCACCTTGGCGAGAAAGCCTAGGGACTTTTGTTGCACAGCTGTAGCCTTAACAGTAGAATTAGTGATAGCTGCCAGAGTTAAGGAATATTGTCTTCCCACGCATTAACAGAGAGTAAAGAGAGACAAGACATGAAAAGGCAAAGGGAATAATAGTTACATATCAGAGATGAGGATCTGGATCCATGATCCTGGTAGAACTACCCACCTCTCACGGTGTCATCTGCTTCCGGGGAGGAACCTCCTTAGTGTATTTTAATATTGGATCTTCAGTTGGTGGGAGTTCCAAGAGTCTAGAGGAGCCCCGTATAATTGGAAGATGGGGATTCAAGGTTCAAGACCCTGAAGTTGTATTACAATCACAGTAAGGAAGAGGACCAGGTATGGTCCCTCCCAACAAGGCTCCAGGGAAGCATTTGTTCTTAGTGATTGCAAATCAGAAAAATTGGAAAACATAAGAGACATAAGTTTGGAGAGTCATAGCCAGATATTGGAGGAAACTAGAAGAATTCCAGATCCGGACTGGTTTACAGGACGTTAGTACCCACGAGATTGTGTTATAGTTTCCTACTGAAACAAAATTTTTTTTTCTCTACAGTCATCTTCATTTCTACCAAAGATAATCACAGGAAGACTAATTTGTTTGCAAAATAATTCCAGTCGCGTTAAACTTGGCCTGATTATTTATGTAAGGGCAGCAAGAATAGTGATTGACCATATCAGCTCTGTAGAAGTCATCTTTGTTGGAATTTTTTCATAAATACATTGGATTTTTAAAAGCCTCTCATGGCTAAGAAGCCAAGCCAAGGCCTCAGCATCAAACTTTGTCTACAAGACCTATAGATTTGGTTGATTCCTCTCTGTTTTGAAGTCCCCCAAATACCCTGAGTTTCCTATGGCTGCCAAGCAGTGACCTTTCTTCCTCACCTTTCTTGGTAATGTTTGGAACCCTGTAAGCAAGATACCAGGTGGGTTCTTGAAAGAGCTTTATTGGTTCCATAAAGTCAACCTTAGTTTCTTAAAACTGTCTGGTCATATCTGGTTTTATGTATGTCATTCTCAAAGATGACATTTCAGTCAAAACCTTCGTATAATATAACCAAAGTATCCAATTGTGGCCTGTAGTTTAAGCAAAACAGATTCTTTTTTTTTTTTTTCCAACGTTTATTTATTTTTGGGACAGAGAGAGACAGAGCATGAACGGGGGAGGGGCAGAGAGAGAGGGAGACACAGAATCGGAAACAGGCTCCAGGCTCCGACCCATCAGCCCAGAGCCCGACGCGGGGCTCGAACTCACGGACCGTGAGATCGTGACCTGGCTGAAGTCGGACGCTTAACCGACTGCGCCACCCAGGCGCCCCTAGGCAAAACAGATTCTTACTAAACTTATGTAAATAACTACAATGCCCTGAGAATAAGAATATTCAGTAACTTTCTGAATTCTGGAGGGATTGGGTAAAGAGAAAAAATAAATGTCTCAATCCTGTTTATAAAAGTATACCTTGCCAAACTGCTGTAAAGCATAGATAGGTTAAAAAGAAAAGAGCAAAAGATTTTCTTACACCTGGAAAACCAAAATATTAAAGGACCGGCAATGTTTCAAAGAGTCATGGAAAATTATATTCATCCTTACCTGTTCTGTCAATCCATGTTATTAATTCTTATTCTACTTGAACCTAATTTTCCCTTTAAAAAGTTCTACAAATTCCGACCCAGGCCAATGGTACAGTCTCGAGATTTCAGAAACATGTATTCTAGAGTACTTATCAGAGTCCTTTCCACGGCTTTCTCTGAAGAAAAGCACTTTTGCAAAAGCCTCAAAGTAAAACATGGTTAGAAATTTGATGAGAGTTCATATTATAAGGAGATTTAGTTATTTCTATGACATTCGGTAATTTAAGATAATAATCAGAGTATTGACAAATTTCTATGAATTGTAAAAGCTTCCTGAAATACCTATATTAGTAACATACATCCATACACATGTAACTTAAGAAAGTTTATCGTCACTTATTTGACCATGCTTTCCAGGTAATTTAACATACAAAATAAACCTAGTTCATTTAATATCTCTCTTTTATAAGGTGAGAGACAAATCCTTTTAGATTTTCCAGGGACCGTCTAGATCTCCAAGCTAGTTTATGGCCAGAAAGACTCCATTTGGAATTTGGGGAAAGTTTTCAAACTGGAAAAATATTTGAACATTGATCAAATAGGGTGACAGATCATTATGAAATAATAATCTTTTGACCAAAGTGACAATAGATTTTAAAGGCAAATGCAGAAGGCGACATAGTTGTGGGGGGAAATTAGCTCTTTTAATATTGAGAAGACTGTGTTCTCGCAAGTAATTGAAGACCTGAGAAAGACAGCATTAAGCCCAGGAAATTATTCTGGTAAGATAAAACCCTTGCTTTTTAAGCAGACTACCAAAAAGGTAAAGAAAATCATTTCACAATCTCTTATCAAGACCAATAGTCCAAGAAAACTATGTCCTTTTAACAAGAGAAAACCACATTCTGATTTTGTATCAGGATACTCTTGGTATTAAGGCCTATTCTTTAAATAAATCCATTCTAATCTTAGCCAGCTTGATCACACATGAAATTCCTTTCCTAAGGGTCCTTTTCCACAAACCTGCTACAATTTTTTACATCTGTTGTCTTATATGTTTCCTTTTTCTCACTCTGGAACAACCAGTCACTCTACATTAGGACAAAATTACCCGTTTTCCTTGAACAACAAAAACAACAAAAATGCCCTTAGTACCTTTCTTTATCCAAAAAAGAGGACCACAATTTTCCTTATCTGCTTTTCATACACAGTTGTTTCCTTTCACCCTTATTATTTCTACAAGTTTTAATTACATATATTGACTAGAATTCTTAACCCTTAGAAACCTTCATTTCTAATCAAAACTAAGAAGTGAGTGTAGAGGCCACTTTTAGGCAACAGGCTTGAGCAATGGAAACCTGAGTAAGACCCCCTGGCTGATTACACACGGACTTATTTGGTGACCCACCTCAAAATACCCATAAGCCCTAGCTGACCAATGGGCTACTTACAGCCAGGCACAGTTACCAAAAAAGGAAATTCCATACATTCCCATACCTCCTCACCTTCCCCCTTTAAATATGGTCCCCACCCTCTGTCTTGTGGCAGACAGTCTCTGCTTTGCTGTCTTACCTGTCGTTCCCTTGCAGTTTATTCAGTAAACTTCTATCTCCTTTGCTCTGCCTATGGTGAATTCTTTCACCACCCACGCTGCCATCTTCCACCTGATCCATTCACCCCACATTTGGGGGCCTCCATCTGATTGGGGGAGACACCACAATAAGCAATAACAGACCGTCAAACTGGCTGTCCGTGCATTGGAAAATTTATAAATACATTTCATAATTTCTAGAAGTCTATTCTACCTTAGAGTAAATTTTTCAACTTGGTATAAGTTTACAAATAAATGCCAATATGTTAAGTTCTTCTAAGAAGAAGCCGGAAGTAGATAAATCTATGTCCAGAAATTAACATTTAAGAATTTTATCTTATTTGGAAATGCTCTAGACAATCCATAAATACCTTCATTTAATTAACTTACTATAACATTAAGGTTTCAAGTTACCAAAAAGACTTCGGAAACTATTTTTAAGTAGATATACCATTAAATTATTATTGAAATGTTCACTTATAAATTTTTATCTTACTTACGTCTATTTGATTTACTTGCTCTTAACAAATTATGTTTAGCTGACTCACGAAAATCTCACAAAATATTAAACAGCTAACCATCATCAAGTTATTTTTCTTGATGGAAAAATTTGTAACAAGGATAACATGAGCATATTTTACTTTATTTTTTTTTAAGAGAAAGATAGCACAAGTAAGATGGGGGGGAGAGAGAGAGAGAGAAAGAGAGAGAGAGAGAATCTCCAGCAGACTCCATGCTCAGTGAGGGGCCTGACATGGGCTCTCCATCCCATGGTCCTGGGGTCATGACCCGAGCCAAAATCCAGGGTCAGATGCTCAACCAACTGAGCCACTGAGGCACCCCACGTTTATTTGACTTTTAAGAAACTCAGGTAGATTAAGGTCACATTACTGATGTGCTGTTTTTAATCTTAATAACTCTGAAGACATGCATATTCTGATTAAAGCAGCAAATTTAAGTTAGGTTTTATTTACTGAAGATTATCCCAGATCGTGTGAACTTGAAAAACATTTGGGTTAGTTCCTACATTTCTGAGGAAATATTTAATGTATATAATCGCTTATTTTTCTTTAAGCCAATTAAATAGAGATCTTTTACAAATTTTGGTATTGCCATCCAAAGGGAAAAAAAATCACTCATCTATAACATATACATAACATACATATACAGACATAACTAAACAGTCAGATACAAACAAAGATCTTGTAGCTTTCATTTTAAAATTTTAGTCATGAGACAGGTAAGATCATGCAAATCTTGCTAGTTTATAAAAGAACAGCTGAATCCAAATTGGTTTCTGGCAGGTGGGGTAAGTTAAGTTTTCCTGCTCAGAGGGCATAAGTTTTTACTAATATTTGCAGAGAAGACTTTTAACATTTCCATTCATTCACCTAGTTTCCAAATAGCCTGTTGTCCTTGTTGTTCTGATAAGAATTACCTCCCTAAAGTTTGCATTTATAAGAGGTGGCTTTTGGTTCCTGGAGAAACCCCGGTAGAACATTTCCATCTCAAAGGCAGAGAAAAAGTGTAAGTTTCTCCAAGAAGGACTTCTGTTTCCAAAGTCCAGATCTCTTACAATCTGCAAGCCTTCGGAGATGAATAGGAGAGGTTGGGGGATTAATAAAAAGGATAGGTGAGCTTGAATTGCTCCTAGAGCCACATTTCTGTTCTTGTAAGGACTTGATTTGTAAGACAAGTGATTTTTAATTCTTCAAAGGTATCAGTTGCAACCTGAATGATCTCAAAGGATGGACCTACCCATCCAGCTACAGTGTTTTCAATTTGCTTATTAGGGAGAAGATTTCCAATTAAGATGGAAATCGGAAGATTCCTATGTTCTCGTTCAGAGTTGTGTGTCTTTGGAATGTTTTACTAAATCCTTCCATAATGGCAGAATGTTTTCTTTTCCCGTGGGCATATAGTTTCATTTTAGCTCAAAGGAAAAGGCCTAAAAACATTTCTATCAGACTTTTAATATAAGCTTCCAATTTGGTCACCTTTTGACCACGGAACTCATTCTTTTTTTTAGTCCTTTAAAATATCTTATTATCACATTTTAGCTTGGACAAACAATAAATATTCCCGGCAGTATTGAACTCCCTTTTCACTTCCTTTTTCTTTTAAACCAACGGTATACCAACCAAAACCAATAAGCCTTTTATGGCTTACCCATAGACTTTCCCCAAAGAGGGTACAAATATGTAGTCTTCCCAGGATTCAGAACCACTGGAATCTGGACTTAAGTCCTTAAGTCTCAAGTCCCATGAGAGGTGTCAACAGTCCATAGGACACTGGCCACAAATGGAGTATGTGCATGACAGGCAGAAAGCCCAGCTAAGTTCTCAGAACTACATAAGGAAGTGATAGCTGTTCCTGGAAGAGAAAGGATCAATAACCGATGAGTACCCCAAACCCAAATCCGTAAGAGTCTGAATTTGAAAAGTAAGGGACAGCATGAAATGTCATCTTTCTTTTCTCAAACCAGGCACTACAGGCAAAGATCCAAGAGAGCTGACTTTGGTAAGGATATTCACCCTTTCCCGGCTTCTGCCAGTTTTCCCAGGATCTTATCTGCAGGCTCCAGCGTTGAGTGTGGTGTCTCAGCATGTCCCAACCTAGTCACCAGAAACTACAGAGGAAGAAAAGTCATTTTCTCTCTACCCTTTACAGTGTGTTCTAGGCTGAGACCTCTTTTTCTCTAGGGCATCTAGTAAATGGATATGCTTATTCAGGTTAAAAGTTTCCCACTGTGACCACTGTAATTTAAAATTATCTTTGATAGGGACGTCTGGCTGGCTCAGTCAGCTAAGTGTCCCACTCTTGATTTCAGTTCAGGTCATGATCTCAGTTTGTGAGTTTCAGCCCTGCATCAGGCTCTGTGCTGACAGTGCAGAGCCTGCTTGGGATTTTCCCTCTCCCTCTCTCTCTGCCCCCTGCCTCCCCCTTCTCTCTCTCTCAAAAAGAAAAATAAACTTAAAAAAATTAAATTATCTTTGTAAAGTTAACCCACTTGTTCAGACTAACACAGGTCTGGGCCCATAATTTGTATACATACAGTTAGCCAGAGTCCAACAGGGAAGATTCCCAGACTCTTTGGACTCAGAGGAACTGAGTTTTCTCTGTCTCTGACTCTCTCCTCCCCCCACCCCTATCCCTCCCTCTGTCCTCTTTTTTCCTAAAACAAAATTTGAGTAACCTGAGATCTCACACTGGACCCTATCCATGTTAAGTCAAACCCAGTCTGACGCCAGATCTATTCCAGAAAAAGAAATGCTCGTACAAAGTCTAAGAGCTTCTAACACAAAAGCTGTTGAGCTTGAATATCTAAGACGGACTTGACATGATCTCCAGAGACAGTTAGAAAGCAATAAGCCTACAGACTCAGTGGGTACCTTATGACTGTTCATTACTTGTTGCTCCTGGGGGCCATCAGGAGTCTCCATTTGTGACACCAGTTCATTACGAGATAAAGTGAGGTATATTAAAAATTCTAAGAGTTTATTTGAACAAAAATTCATTCCAGTTGGTCAGCACGAAACCAGAAGCCGTTAGGAACACTCTACCAACAGGAGTCAGGGGAAAGACCTGTACAGAGAAAGGACAGAAGCAATATTATTTGGTTGGCTGTAGTTTAAGCGTTTGCCTTATTAGGAAAAGGCTAGTAGGTTCTTTGTGGTTGATTGCCATTAGGCTTTGATTTCTTAACCTAGAAGCACTACCAGGCTTAAATTTTGGTTTGCTAACATCAGCTTCCAAGGCATTAGAGCAACCTCAGTCTACGGCCTCCTGTTTAATTAATTTAACAATGTATCCGCTTACAGGTTCTTTATTAGATATGTGTTTTGCAAATACTTTCTACCAGTCTATGGCTTGTCTTTTCACAGTATTATGAATGAGTCCACGTGTTTTATTTTGGTAAAATTTAGTTTTGTAATGTATCATGCTTTCAGTTATATATTTAAGAAATTTTTTGCTAACCCCAAGGTCACAAAGCTTTCCCCTTAAGTTTTCATAGGGAAGTTTATGATTTTAGGTTTTACATTTAAGTCTCCATTTTATTCGGAAGGATTTCTGTTGGTATACGCTCAACTTCACTAGTTTTGAACTCTCATTGTCTCTGCCATGTCAAGCTACAATAGTGTAATGTGAGGGTAAAATAACAATAATTTCAGGAATGTAAGGAATCAAACATTTTGCTTCCCATGCATATCTGCATTTAGTATGCTTTCATAGGAAATGGAATCTTGGGAAAAGGAGCCAACAGAAAGAAAAAGTAACAGGAAGTCCTAAATTAGGCTTTCGTCAAAGGACCGAGCCAACAAATAGATCAAAGCAAGAGGCATGAGGGAGAAGGGAAATTTCACAGAGAGAAGGGGCCTGGAGGGGGAGGAAAGCTAGTAGATTATTGGATGTCTTTGATTATTTGAAAAAAAATTATGGTTATGCATTTGACAAGTTTTTAATTCCAAAGAGGAAAAATTAGTTTAAAAAAACACATAAAAATAAGTAAATTTTAAAATTGCACGACAGTCAACTCCAGGAAAAACAAAAAGTTGTACGAGAAAAGAAGTCCAGTGACACTATGCTATATGTTCTGGCAACAACAACAACAAAAAGATTTACTTACTCATAATAATATAAAAACCGCCAGATAACCAAAAATGTACTATAACTCAATCAGGAGAATGAGTAGGTTGTAGACAAGGAGTTGTAGGCAAGCTAAATCCTCAAACACCACTAGAGAACATTGAGATATATTGTCTAAAATTAAAGCGTCAACAATATAGGCATATTTCTCCGAAATATGGAATACCTGGAGTTGACATTGGAAGAATCTGAGATGACTGTTTCTAGTGTGTAGGATGGCAGGGAGGGGACGCCTCGTAGGAGGATGAAGCTGAGGCTCTCTCTCAGAGAGTGGCGAAAAAAACAGGAAGTATTTTATTTTTAAAATTATGTACATATGTTATTTCGATGGTTTTCAAAAATTGATTTTTTTTAGAAGAATGGTTCCTCCAAATGTTTACTTTTCAACCTCTTGTCAGTGAGTCCCCTGAATACAGCCTTTGGCTAAAGAAAACCAGCAGGGCAATATGGCCACCCAGGG